GGATGAGGGCTGACTGGTACCTGACTTCATGGAGGAGTCATCATCTTGTGGAACTGTTTGCAGAAATTGTTCTTTCAGGAAATCCATGCTTTTAATTATTAATTCATGTTCTGAAAGATGGGGGTACTGTTGTTTCAATTCCTGTTGAATTTGAATAAACGGATTGTTGGATAATGCTGGTGGTGTTGGAAGAGCTAGTTGCTTAACGGATTCCCAGCAGGCTTAAGCATGTTGCTGGATCTTCTGAACAATTTCTGTTATGATAGGGGTCATACCCTTATCCCACCATTTGACAAAATAAATCCTTTTGAGGCGGGGAACCTTATTCTGATAATCACATGCAAAATCCCACTTCCATATCCATGAGATGCTAAAACGGATAGTAAAATGGACCAAAGATTTACTGATGGAAAGATCACGGTTTTTATTCAAATGAGCATAGGCTCGAGAATAAGCCACATGCCATTCATTGAAAGCGTTACGGATAGGTTCTGGTAGGATATCAAGAGAAAGCCCAAACTTATCCCACCAAACGAGGAACCAGGAAGGAACATCGTTTTTGAGGAGATCAGGGCTGACACGGATAAACCAAGAATGGTTTTTAATCGGATTTTGGTAATAAAAGACCTGGGTGAAAGCATCAACATAATCCCAGTAAATGTATTTGGTCTGTTTATAGGCAATATCTCCCTTAAAGTATTCAATTTCTACGGTATTTCCAAAGCTTTATCCTTGGTTCGAATTAAATAAACATAACTATATCTAGTATAGTCATTTACAAAAGTGATACAATATTTTTTCCCACCTCTTGTTTGAATTGATTTAAAATCACATATGTCACTATGAATTAATTCAAGTGGTTCCGTACTTCTTTCAATTGAATGAAAAATGAGTTTTGGATAATTTTGCCTCAACGCAAATTTCACATTTATGATTTGAATCAATGTCAAATTTAGGTAAACATTCCATATTAATTAATCTACGCAAAGATCCACAATTAACATGTCTTAGTCTACCATGCCATAAATTTGAAGACTCAAGCAAGTAAGAAGAAAATATATTTTTATTAATAACTGAGGGTACAACAGTCATTACATTCATCTTGAAAAGGCCATCAGACTTGTAACATTTTCCTACATACATCCCATTCTTAGTAAGTACAAATTTATCACTTTCAAATACTAGCCTAAACCCATTCTTACTCAACAAAGATCCGGAAACAAGATTCTTGCGAATGTCCGGTGCATGCAGCACATTGTTGAGAGTGAGTTCCTTTTCAGATGTCATCTTAAGTACAATCTTTCCTTGTCCTTCAACTTTGGAAGTTGAGGAGTTGCCCATAAAAAGTTGTTCACTATTTTCCACTGCAGAATAAGATGTGAATATCTTTTTGTCGGCATAGATATGGCGAGTAGCACCAGTGTCCACCCACCATTCTTTAGGATTTCTGACAAGATTTGTCTCGGAAACAACTGCAGAAAGATTTATGGCATCTGCACCATTAGAAATTTTACCCTTTCGGTCATTTTGGCTTTAGCAACCTTCTTACTTGATCTTCCTTTGCCTTTACGTTTGTAACGGCAATCTTTAGCTCGATGTCCCTCTTTGTTACAAATGTAACACATGCCATTAAACTTGTACTTCTTAGTTTCCCCTCCTTTAGATAGCATTTTCTTCTGCCATATTTTAGCAATAGTTCCTAAGAACTTTCTTGGTTTTTCACCATGATTCACTGGCATAGTCCCAACATAAGGAGGGGTTGGTGTGATGGCAATCACCATACCAGTACTGGTTTGAACATTAGTTTGACCAGTTTCAATAGCCATAAATTCTAAATTATAAAACAAAATTAGAATTAGAATTTACACTACACAGAAAATTAATTCCAAATTCACAGAATTAAATTCTGTAAAAATAAAAATAAAAAGAATGTAACTTTTATTTTTCAATTAATTTGGAAATAAAATAAAATTTTATTTAACCAAATTAATTCCACATAGAAAATTAAATTTCTGTTTTACTTCAATAATTAAAAACTTAATTTATTTTTAATTAAAGAACACTCATAAAATAATTTCTAAAAACCAAAATTAATTTCTGACAAAATTCCACAAGTATATATTTTGAATTGTTAATGACACCAGTATATTACTACTAGTTGTCAAAGAAAATACACAGTATATTACTACTATCTGCCAAATAGCATATAACCACTATTTATTTTTCCAACCAAAATATTAAATTGTAAATTCACAGAAAATAATTTTCTTTAAAAGAAGAAAGAGAAAAGGAAACAAACGAATAATTCTGTAAACAAAATAATTCGAATCTGTCTTAAGATTGTTGGAACAATCTTCTGTGTAAATAAAAAAATTTGAAACAATTCAAACAAAATAAAATAAAACTTAAAGTATTTATTTTGTAGAACCGAATAAATAATTCAAAGACCAAGTCGGGTGTGTGACACTCTGTCCTTAAGACAGATTCGCCTTGCTGCGGTGCTTACGGTTGAGTGGCGTCTATCTCCTAGGATACAATGATCTTCACAAAATTGTTGTAGTACACCAAACAAAATTGTACGGCGAACCAAACCTTGTGTTCTATACTCTCTTAAATTTAATCTAAAACTAATATATGAAGAATAAATGCACTAGAACAAAATGGAGAGCAAAGATACAAATATTCAGACTGATTTTCGGATTGGAAAACACTGCTGGAATGTTGGTATTTATAGGCACACAAGTGCTGACCGAACAGGTATAAAATTCAAATGAACAGGTGTGGTTTGAATCCAACAGGTGCTGTTTTGAAAACACACAAATATGCAAACTGTTCAACAGATTAACTGCTGGAATGACACTGTTTGAATCTGCCTGGGCAAATTTAAATTTGTCCAGTTTTGAACAGATCCAAAAAACAGTTTGGGCTCAAAAATCTGTTATGGAATAAAAGGAAGAGACACAATTGTTGGACAACAATTTGAATTTGAATTTCAAATTCAAATTTCAAAATTTAAATTAATTTTTCCTGCAAGAATTTATTGAAAAAATTCAAATAAATTGTCCAAAAAATTAATGTTTAGACTCGACCCAATCCACACTCTTGCCCGGCATGGCCGGACAGCGGCGGCGCGCGTGTGGTGGTTTTGGGCAAAGGTACACTTTGTCCATAACTCCTCCCTTCCACAAACTTGGGGTGCCCCTTGGGGCCCAAGTGTTATAGGCTATAGCTTATATATACAAATAAACTCTCTTAAAGTTTCAATGCGGGACAAACCTCACAAGGAAACCCACATTACAAACTTTAAATGTTCATTCCACGAACCCGAAAACGACGTCAAGTTCCCATTTACTCATAAATGATTTTGACGAACCGTCTTCACCGTGTGACTTGCCACGTGGCAAGGAACACTTCACCTTTTCAGACCCGCCCCAAAAAAGCGTTCGGGACCCACTCAATTTTGGGTTCAAAGTTGGCCCAAAATAAGCTTTATAAAAACACCATTTTTCCAACAACACAAACATTATTTATTCGTAATACAGTGAAAATTGGCCAACACTCAAAAATCCCATTGTCAATAAAAAAATAATATAACTCATGAGAAAAAAATTAACTAATTTGTACAATAATGTGTTTATTATGTCGTGTGGTGTCATATGGTTGCAAACAAGTCATATGGTTGCAAACAAGTTGAAGGGATACAAAATTTATAGAGAGGAAGATGTGAGAGAAATAGGAGTTGATATTTAAATTTTGATTTTGAATTCAAATTTACATAATACTATGTTATTATGCGAGAGAAATAGGAGTTGATATTTAAATTTTAATTTTGAATTCAAATTTACATAATACTATGTTATTATGTCATGTGATTATCAACGAACAATTTTAGTCAAATTTTGAATGAATGCTAGTTATTAAGTAAATTGTATAAAAAAAATAAAAATATTAAAGACCCAAGAGGGGGCGGGGGGGAAATAAATACCAATGTAGCAAAATAAAGAAACCTAGGAAGGACAAAACGTAAATTACTAATTTATATAATAAGGCTTTGTTTGGAAATAATATTTTTTAGTAATTTTTTATCAAAAGATGTGTAAAAAAATAGATAGAGTGATGTGATAATTTATAGTGACTTTTTGACATAATTGTCAAACGAGGCCTAAGTGTTATTGTGTCACTTGCTATGAATATGTTATTTTTTAGGCTAATTTTAAACAGCCTTCCTGATAGTTAAAATAAATTAAGAAAAAAAAATTAAATCCCTGAATAAAAATAAAAATTGATATATTAAAAGTCAAAATAAAGATTTCGTTGAAACTTAAGTGATAGTAGTATAATTTATACTAAGCCTCCGTTTGGGAAGTAGGTTGGCTTTTTGGCTTTTTGACTATATGAGCCTGGGCTCAAAAACTTAGTTTGGGAAGGGCTTTTGGCTTTTTGACTTTTTTGATTTTTTTGTGAGAGAAGAGTAATGATTATGGGATTGGATGAGATGTTTTATCTGTTGTGGCTCATGAGCCTATTCTGTCTTTTATGGCTCATTAAGCCAAAAAAGCCCAATGAACCATTGCCAAACCAACCCTAAAAATGTAAGTCCATGATTTACAAGATTCAAGGTCAAGAATGGCCTCCACCATCCCTTGTTTAATTTGAATCTATCGGAAATCAAAATACAAAAGTATTAAATTTTAAAAAGACAGAGTATAATATAATAATATTTTATTATGGTAAGTGGAATAACGTGTAGGCGACATTTTATTTTTGGCTAATTTTAAATCCCCCACATTTACTGTTAAAGCAAAATTATAAGAAGAAGTAAAAAAACATAAAAATGTTTTTAAAAAAAAATTATAAAATAAAAGTCCATCCATTAGCAAGATTGAAGGTCAAGGATGGGTTCTATATCTACTCTTAATTAATTTGTGAAATCCGAACACGTGTACAACCTTTAAACCGCCACCGTCATAAGCAGTTGCTTATATCCAAACACACACCGACAGAGACCACGCACGGATATAGCTCACACACACCCTCTTCGCCATCTACTGGAACCCTCTCTCTCTCTCTCTAGAATTTATTTGCAATAATTACATGGCCCGATCTCTGTATCAAACCCTAATCCGAACCTCCCAGCCGGGCATCTTCGTCCCCAAATCTCCTCCATCTCCACACGCGTCTCGTTTCGTATCCCTCCGAACCCAATCGAGCCAGTCGGAGAACTTCCAAGACTTCGATTCCGATCAACGCGAAGCCCTGGCGGTGCAGAAGATCGAGGACGCGATTCACCGCATAATCGTCAAGCGATCGGCCCCCGATTGGCTACCATTCGTCCCCGGATCGTCGTATTGGGTTCCGCCGCAGAGAAGGACCTACGGAATCGCCGATTTGGTTGACAAGTTGGCGAATTCACTCGCCGAAGAGGAGGTTATGTCTCTCACCACCGCTCGCGGCTGGCCTTCTTCCGCTTTTTTCGTCACTGGTATTCCGCACCTGTAGCTCTTCTTTCATATATTTGTATATTTAATCTAATGTAAAGTTTGGTCCTTTTTGTTTGATATATATATATAGTTGCATGTAAATCAGAAAAAATGTGATGTAGAACGAATGTACGTAAACATTAAAATAGATATTGTGCAGATGAAATAATTATATTAAGAATTTGGATATGAAATTATTAGGATTGTTTTATTGATTTGAGAGTACAAAAAAGAAGAAAAAGGGATTGGTTAAGCTTATTTGGGTGGAGGTTTGGTAATTAAAGGTAAAGGTGTGAAGGTTTAGTGATGGTTAGTGATCTTTTGTAAGTTAGGGTGTAGGGTTAAGAAACTATATGATGCTTGAGATGATGTGGTTTTGTGGATTTTTAGAACAGACTATTTTAGGAATTTTTTGACTTTTTACAAAAAAATGTTCGGAAAATGAGAGAGGGTGATATGATAACTTATAATGACTTTTTGATTTTTTGTCTAAAACTTCAAGGTGCCAAACGAAGCCAATAGAAAAAATCAAAACGAAGAAGAAAAAGAATAAGAAGTCTAGGATTTGCACCTCATATCATAGGCTTAGGGTCGTTTGAGAAGTGGTTTTTTGATATTTTTTTTTTAGCTAAAATATGAGGTGAAAAGAATTGAGTGTTTATTTGAGAAGTGACTTTTTGATTTTTTTAGTTAAAATATGAGGTAAAAAGAATTGGGTTCGTTTGAGAAGTGGCTTTATAGAGAAAAACATGCAAAAACGTAGAGAGATGCAGAAGGAATCTTTGATTTTTTTGGGTATGACTTTTGTGTTTTTTTGTCTACTTGGTTTTTTCATGACTTTTTGGCTAAAACCCTTTCTTCCCAAATGCACCACACTAGTTAGAATAGCATCACACAATCTCAAAGAAGATACAATAGCTCTAAAAATAACATTTATTGAATTAGAATTGTCACATAACTTTATGTAGACTATAGAGAATTCCTTGCCTTAATATGATTTTTGGCATTTTTGCCTTGCTATTTGGAAACTAAGACATTTGACTTCTAAAATTTATCCAAACCAAAATACCAAAATACCCTTTAGTAAACTGGAAATTACCAAAATACCCTTCACACCTTCACTTATGAAATACTAGAAAATGTGAAAGAAAACTACCAGAATAATACGTAACTGAAATAACCATAAAACAAGGTCCAATGAGACTTAAAACACTTGATTACACATGATTCAAATTGGTTGAAAGTGGGTTTAGCTTAAAAGCAAGCAATTTATAGACTTTATCACTTCTTTATTTCTTATGGTCTGCATCAAAAGTATTACTTGGGATGTGCATTTGCTTAAAGAATGTTAGAAGTTTTTGCTTTTGGGAGGAGCACAATGCTTCAATGCCACATAAGTCATTGCTTTTGATTTACCGATTGGTAATAATGGATTTTTTTGAATTTCAGAAATTTCTAAATTCACAGAAGTTCCATGAAATCATTAAATGTTAATATTTTATTTGGTAGGGGGTGGGGTTTCACAAAATGTTTGTTTCAATTGTGTTAGAATAACTATGGTGTTCTGGGGACTATCATGATAGTTTCAAAATTTGTACATGATTTTTAGGTTGTACTAAATATAAACTGGTGCTATGTTGAATGCAATGGATTTTGATTTGCTATGCAATGTTTTTCTCAGCCGACCCCATTTGATGGGACTTAAGGCTTGGTTTGGTTTGGTTATGCAATGTTTTTATCCCTTCTGATTGCAGATGCATCTCCAGATCCTGCAGATATAGAAACAGCTTCCAGAAACCCGTCACAGTCTGAAGATAAGGATGGATAAAACACATTTCTGACATGACTGGCATCTGAGGTCAGTGAGAGTTTCCACGACTAGCTGTATTTTAAGTTGAGTAATTGTGGCAAGTTTATTCTTCAACATTAACAGTAATAGTAAGGAGATGCATATGAAATAAGAAATATAAGTTCTAAATTCTTTGTTGAAGAATAAGCTTGAATAATAAGAATAATGTGTGCTTATTTTTCTTATCCAAGCATTTTCAAGTATTGTTGGATCATTTAGATGTATTATGTTGACTCGCAAGCTGTATTCATATATATAAAATTCTTGTTGGGTCATTTAGATGCATTATGTTGACTAGCAAGTTGTATACGTATATAGGATAATAAGCACACATATTGACATTCTTCCCTTGCTTGTCGATTTTTCGTTGTCTTCTTTTTTCTTTTCTACTTGTCCATTTTTCTCTAATAAATTTACTTTTTCGTTGCTGATAAAACACAAACACACACACAAATACTAACTTCTCTGGCTTCATTCTTAGCCTTACACCCTTGGTGGTAAAGCTCGTGTATAAATCATGAAATGATGAAATTTTCAACTCAACGATGACATTTTCCTTCTGTTAGTGTGGAGCACAGAAACCCTACTCAGTTTAGCATTTACATGATCAACTGATTTATAGGGAAACTTGTCAGGGAATGGCAAAAAACTAAAACAATCTTAGAGGTTTGAGAGGAAATTCTATCCTAAGAAATTGGACTTCTTTTTGCAACTCATGCTCTGAAACAGATAGTAGGAGCATTGTCCATGTTGTAGGCATTGCAATTGCCTTTCAATCTTCATCATCTTCAAATATATTTACTAAATTTTTGGCATGCCGTGTTGTCATAGGCCATAATACAATGATTTTATTGCATGAGTTTTAGCTTTGGTTTAGTACTTCTAAAATGGCACAATCTTTTAGCATTATGCTTACATCACTTGGGTTTGTCCAGTGATCCTTTTATATTTTCTTAAGATGTGCAAACTTGGAGACGCTTTTAGGATGTGGTTGGGGGAAAATAATAAAACTTTATTATATCGTTTCTTAAAAGAAGTTTTGCCATTTTGCTAAGTGTCTCAGAGTCATAGTACTTGTTTGTCGACTGAGAAGTTTGATGGTAGTTGATAAAAATCGCTATCTTCATGTTCAAATGATGATTTTGTCATGAACATGCAACGATTCTGGTTGTAATCTACCTGTTTATATGTGCAGGCTCATCAACGCATAAATGTTATGTGGTATAATTAAGAAGAAGAAGAAGAAGAAGAAGAAGAAGAAGAAGAAGAAAGGTGTAGATTGAAGACATGTAACTTAGTGGGAGGAGCTGTACAGATGCAACCTGTGTAGTGTGGTGGGGGAATGCTGCTTAGTATCTCTCAAAAAATTTGGACTTTCATAACTCTCTATCTTATAAAGAAACCAGGTTGTCAGCCTGTAGTTTCATTGTATATTTTTTAGAACATCCCCGGTTTGGAAGTCATCTTTTATTGAGTAATATCATTTGTGGTTTTTACGCTCGCGGCTGCAGAGCTATTTCCAAGGGTTTTAGAAGTTTTAGTTATGCTTTTCTGCAACTTTCAACCATGTTTTCCGGCTCACCCATCCCTTTTGAGAACCAAATGGAAGGGGAAACACTGTCGAAGGGGACTGTGTAGCAAGAACAACACAAAATGCAATAATAATAAAATAAATCAAAACATGTTAGTCCAAAAGGTGGGTTCTTTGATGGATTATTGAGACACAAGAATTGCACCGGTCTAGAATATGTGAAGCCATAATAGTAAACATTGCCACTTTCTGTGATGGTTTGGGGACTATTATGTGGCTGTTTGGTAGCACTTAAAAGCAACTTTTAAGTTAAGTTATTTTGATGTGTTTGGTAAACCTTAAAGGAATAAATTATAGATTTTATTAAGTTATTTTCAACTTAAACTTCTAAGCACCTCAGGCGGTGCTTAAATTTTCAGCTTATACGGGAAGCTGAAATGGGAGGATTAAAATGACGTAAATGCCTTTCTGAATTGATGCTAATTACATGTGTGCCATGTATATAAATCATTTTTTACTCATTCTTTCTCTCTCACACAAATGAAAGGGGCGATTTCCGGCGAGCATGTCGATTTCCGGCGAAGAAGCTCTCTCTCCCTCTCTGTCTCTATCTCTTCGTGAACCCGTCTGTCTTCTTCTTCGTGATAGCGATCGCGATCTACCATCGCAATCTGCACCATCGCGATCTGCCATCGCGAACCCGTCTGTCTCCCTCTCCCCGTCGTGAACCCGTCTGTTTCCCATTTGAACCATTGCAATCTGCACCATCGCGATCGATGTCGGCAGTGAGATGAGGAGGAGGAGGAGAAGAAGCGGTTGCTGGCGGGATGGACCATCACGATCTGAACCCTAGCTCTCTCTCTCTCTTTCTGTGGATCTGAATGAAACCCTAGTGCCGATTCATCCCGCCGGAGCTAGGGTTTTCATTATTTATTTTATTTTATTTTTTTGGAGGTTTTTCAGTGTTTTTGTAATAAAAAAAAACAAAGTAATTAATGAACAAAAAATAATAATTGATGCTAATTAATTGAGACTAATTAATTTAAAATGAAAAAATGAAAAAAAATTATATAAATTGATACTATTAATAAGAATATTGATGAATATATGTAATTGATGAAAAAATTAATAATAATTGATAATATTAATATATGTAATTTATGTAATAATTGATGAAAAAAATTAATATTGATGAATATATGTAATTTATATTAATTGATAATATTAATTGATGGAAAAATTGATAAGTTAATATAAATTGATGAATATATGTAAATTGATAAATTAATATAAATTGATACATTAACATAAAGAATATTAATGATACATTAATATACAGAAAAAATGAGATATTACTAAAAATAATTAAAATGAATAATAATAATAATAAATTGGAAAAATTGGTACATTAATATAAATTGATGAAAAATTGATGAATATATGAAAATAATATGTAATGAAATCACAACCTTAATATAAATTAAAACATGAATATTAATTTTAATGAATTAATAAATTAAAAAAAAATTAACAAAGAAAGAAGAGAAGAAAAAAAAATTAAAAAAGAAAAGAAAAGAAGGTGAAAAAGAAAAGAAAATAAAATAAAATGAAAAAGAAAAAGAAAAAAAAATATTATAAATGAAATCACAAATTTTATATCCTATAAGGGCAAAAATGACAATTACACAGCTTATTTACCAAACACAACTCTACGGCTTAAATCTATAATCCCACAGCTGCACTAAACAGGTTGCCAACTTATGTTCATAGCTGTAAATTATAATCAATTAGAGAAAATCAATTATTAATAAAATTACATTATAAAATTACTATAATTATATTAATAAAATTAAATATATATTAATAAAATTACTCAAAATACTCTATATTTGTTGAATTGAATTTATACAAAATTGAGTTTTATTTAAAAAAATTCTTAAATCAAGAGAAACTCAAATATGTAATCAAAATGTAACTAAAACTCTTCTATTGAACCACTGTTTGGTGAAAATGACAGTCCAATTTATTTTGTTTCATAAATCCCCTAAAGAAGAGGCGCATAATTAAGTAAGGACAAAGTAAAATATTTTTTTTTCCCTTGAATAATATTGCTAGAGTAACATGTTATTATGAGACCGAATAACAGGTTACTATTAACATCAATTTCAGCGGTAATAAATTATTATTATTATTATTAGTATTAGTATTTTTAAGAATTTCATAATTAACATAATCTTATTTGATAGATCTCGATGGGAGGATTATAAAAATACTAATTTTATTAAAAATCAACATTTATACCAAAAGTTACATTATTTTAAAATTTAATATTTTGGTAATAGTGGAAATTTTTTTGTGTTTGTTCTTAATACATTAAAGTTTTATTACGAAATTTTTTTGACCAAATCTCCTAAATTTTTACAGTGGTGCTACATATACTAATTAGACCTCGTTTGGAAACAGACTATTTTAGTAACTTTTTGACTTTTTGGCTAAAATATGAGGTAAAAAAAACTAGTATGTTTGAGATGATTTTTTGACTTTTTACGAAAAAATGTGCAAAAAATATAAAGAAAATGAAATTTTTGACTTTTTAGTATAAGTTGTTGGCTTTTGATTTTTTTAGTAACTTTTTGACTTCTAGGCTAAAATAACCACCTGCCAAACGAGGCCTTAGTGTACATACACTAGTTATGACATTATTATTAATCTCACTCATTAATCACATTATAAATATTAAAATTTTCTTAAATTATATCATATCATCAATTAATACATTAATTGATACATATAACATTATTCAAGCTATTTTGTGACTCTTAAATATACCAATTTATCATTAATGAAGTTTCACTCAAATTTATGCTTTCCTCCCAAATAAAGGCGGAAGATGGCTAAGTGTTATTAGTCTCGTTTTATTAATTTCTTACCATTTGTAAAATGGGAGATTTACCAATAAATCTTACTTGTTGATATTATAATCCAATTAGTGTAAAACTGTCCACACAGTTACACCAAATATGGAAAATAGGATCAACAAGTAACAAACTTCCCCACTAATAGGACTTACCTGAACAAAAGAATAAAGTTGGGACTAATTGGTTTAAGAGTTTGTCAAATAGGATTTATTGGTAAATTTTCCTTGTAAAATATAATAATCTATCTGCTATCTCCTAGTAATACCACCAATGGTAAAAAGTGTGAGCTACTCTTTTTATTTATTTTATTTTATTTTATTTCTAAAATATCCTTCTCAAAATTTCTCAGCCACCTGCACCCTGAAAAGGGCAGGCACCACTGTTACCAACAGGCGCAAGGATCCTCTGGAGTCATATGGTGAAGTGATCCTCTAGAGTGATGTTTTACAGCTTGACACGTGCCTCACTAATAAGATCAAAGGTTGAGATTATTTTGGTAAGGAAAATTTTTTTTCCTGAGTTTGGTGAGTTTCAACTAGTATTTTTTTTTTATATTTTTGGTATTTAGTGAATTTTTAAAAGATTTTTTTCACAAATTTTTTACTTTTTAGGTATAATTATGTTAGGTATATCTAAAAAGTAAAAAAAAATTGCTTAAAATATTAAAAAAATATCAATAAAAAAAAAATACGGAAAACAAGAAAGTAGAATTTTTTGAAAAGTATTTTTGAAAAAACACAACCAAGCATGGTAATTTTTTTAAATTATGGGCAACTAAATTGTTGGGATTTTTACAAACAACAATTTCAGGAACCAAAAAAAAAAAAAAAAAATTGGTTCAAAATCTGGATTTGTTTGTGTGTATGTGATTGTTGATGAAGATGATGAAGTTGATGATGATGTTGAAGAATGCTCTGTCTTATCTTCTCTCCCACACGAAATTTTTTTATTTTTTTTTCAAATCAATCCATGGTTTTTCGATTTCTTGAGCCATGGATTGATTTTTCGATTTCTTGTCTGTTGTGATTTCTCTGTGATTTCTTGTCTGTTGAACCTTTCTAAGTTTTTCAAATCAACTCTTTCATTTTTCAATCCATTGATTTTTCCATTGTTCAGATAGTACTGATTTTTCGATTTAAACTCAAAAACTCAGAAATCAATCCATCTCTGAATGTGAGATTTCTTGATTTTGAATGATTTTCTTGAGCAAGAAAATGAAAGAGAAAAGGCATAGAAGAAACATGGATTAATTTATTTATTTTTCAAATTTCTCACCAAAACGACGTCGTTTTGGTGAGATTTAATGTCAACCGTTGGATCAATCACTCTAGGAGATGACTGCAGGCTTCTCACTCTAGAGGATCCCGACGCTACCAACAGGTGCTTGGGTTTGTTTCATATATGAATACGAAATGGGTGGTTGGTACAGTTACATTGAAATGAGATTGACACCAAATTTTATTACGATGATATTATAATTGGTAACTGACACGAATGGTGAAATTTATTAAAACCAATATAATTATTAAATTCAAACCAATATAATTATTAAATTCGGATAAAAATTTACGACGATATAAGTATCTAGTAAGCCCAAATTCAATATGAATGTTGTTACCTACAACGCAAATGCCAGTACAATAAAATCACTATACTTTATTTAAGTCAATTTAATTCTTAATATTTTTTAATTAGAATTTATTATTTTATAGTAGTATCTTGTATATAATTTTACAACGATTTTGAGGGTAGAAAGCCATTTAAAATTATGATGTTGAGAGAGAGATTTGCACTGAACAATAGGCCGAGCTATACCAACACGGAATATGGTGTTGGGTCGTGAAAGAAGAACTTGGGATGCGTTGTGAGGCCGAATTGGATCCACACTGAATATGGTGCAACGCCAGATTAGAATTGTTTGAGATGTATTAGGCCGAGCTAAGACTACACAAAATACGATGTCAAACCGAGTTTGACCCATGTGGATTATGGTGTTGGACTAGACTGGGTCGAACAGGTTCACGGCGCGGGCCAAGCTGTTGACGGTTCGGATTGCAGTTGTGAAGACAAACGGTCCATGAGACCACGGTGCGTAGCCAAGATGCCGAACAGCGTGCCCGACTTTGGTCGGCACTGATAGGTCAGTTTGGTTCGGCTCCACATTAAGCAGTCCAATGTGATGTTTATGTTTTACCAAGTAATAGCTCGGTTCAATATTCCATGTGGACCAATGAAGAGAAGAGGGGAATCAACTCCTAGTATGCATTAATACCGTTTGGCAGTTTTGATCTCTACACATGTAAGAAAGGTAAAGAGGGGCACAGCCACCTGTCCAGGAAGGACAACAGAGGTAGTGTGCCTATAATCTTTGAGACTACATGGCCAGCCTTGAAAAGGAGGAAGAGGTGCACGTTGGAGGTAAGAAACCTGAAGTAATCTTGAACTCTCTCTCTCTCTCTAGAGTGCTTTGCCTTCTCTTTTCTCCTAGAAAGCTAACTTAACTGTCGGAGGGGGTTTTTCGGCAAACCCATCCGCCGGGTAGCTCACCTTTGTTTTGTTCACATTGCGACGAGTCCTAATGGAGTGAGACGAGCTTGGTAGCAAGAAGGTACAGAGCGAGGCGTGGCGTCGTTTGTGAGAAGTTCTTTGACAGGCAAACCTTGTTTTACTAGCCTTGTTGACTATTTTCCATGGCAAACATCGACGAAACACCGCTGTTCGTGGTCGACAGAATCACTCCAGAGTCAATCCGGAGAAGAGATGGCCCTTTCTCTATTCCGACCATGGCGGGCGTAAAGACCTCCTCTAAAGGGCAGCCCAGGGATGCACGAGACAAATGCGCGAGGAGCTCTTATCATTCAAAGAGTCCTGAGGGTCGCAGACAACGAGGAGAATCATATGCTTAGCGCCTGGAGCACAAACTCAGAGACCAGGATGCCCTTATTCGAAAGATGGCGGCGGAAATGGAGACGTTGAAGCGACAAATCAAAGAGAAGGGTGTTACTGGAGTGGGCGACTACAGTGAACGTACCCAACCCCGTCGCTCCGACAATCATCACTAACGGGGGACAACTTCGCTCTCCATCAGCAGAAGCTACGGCGTCGGCGATTCCGATCCACCAGTGGAGAGATCTCATACGCGTAACAACAGCTACCGTCCCTCACATCCATTGACGATGTTGAGATACTCTTACACCGCCCGTTCGAAGGACCTGAGGGACGTACTAGAGGAGTGAGCAAGCCCTAGAGAGGCCCAAAGAGTGTCAGCGTTGCAAAGGCTGAGTCCCCAAATTTGTTGCAGTGATGAGGTGGCCATGACGCCGCCCAGAGTGGTGGTTCCAGCATCGGTGGATAGAGACTTGGCATAACTCACTGCCTCCCCGCTGTCTCCAGAGATAGAGAGCACGTCCCTCCCTGCCGGATTCGATCAACCAAAGTTCACGCTGTATGATGGGAAACTGACCCATACATGCATGTTAGTCATTACCGGCAAGTAATGGCAGGCCATCAGCGCAACGATGCCTTGATGTGCCTCATATTCCCAGCAAGTTTGGGAGAAATGGGGTTGAAATGGTTCGAACGGCTCCCGGAGGGGAGTATCGAGGAGTGGCAACAGCTAGCGGAAGCCTTTGTCACCAGATTCAAGACCAACACTCAAACATCCAAAGAGGTCGACCACCTCCTGGGCATCAAAATGGAGTCAGGCGACTCTTTGAAGGTATACAATGCCAAGCATTGAGAGACTTACAACGAGATCCTGGATTGCCCCACCAATTTGGCAATCGCCCAATACAGGTGAGGTCTACCAGTCGAACATAGACTGCAAGACTCGCTCACGATGCGCCAGCCTACAACCATGGAGTCATTAATGCAGCGGATAAATGAACACATTCGAGTTGAGGATGATGCCGCCACCGCCACCACAACCGAGAAGGAAAATTCAGTTGCGGCGGATAGATGTGTGGCTGGGAAGGTTCACTTGGTAGGGTAGAAGGATAACTGCCCTAATAACTGAGCTAGAGAACAACAACACGGTGTTAACCGCAACGACAAAAACAAAGGATGCGGGAATGACCAGGCTAATGCTCCTCGCAATGAAGAGGAGGATGCCAAGAGAAAATTGAAGACACGAACCGGCATCACCATTGTTTTTAAGATTCCTATCTAACGCATCCTCAGTGAAATTCGAGATGAGCCACATGTCCGTTGGCTAGCAAAGTTAGGGGATGCACAGAGGGGATTCAACTCAAGATATCGCTACACTTTCCACGAAGAAATGGGGCACTGCACAAAGGACTGCGTGCCGCTAAAACAACACTTGGAAGAGCTGGTTGCGGCTGGGCACTTAGACCAGTACATAGATAGAGGCATGAGGGCTGCTCCGCAAGGGCAAGCAAAACCAAATGGCGTTGCTGTCTTGGATGCAGCACCCTAAGGAGTCATCAATGTTATTCACGGTATCATCGAGCCCGTGCGAGTTTGCGAGCTCAGGAGGATGATCAAAAAAGCCGAACACATAAGGGAAGTGCTCTTTATTCAGCCCGTTGTAAAGAAAGGGAAGACCGAGATACAAGACATCATGACCTTTTCTAATAAAGACTTGGAGAGAATTCAAACCCCACACAACGATGCCTTGGTAGTAACGCTTCGTGTCAAGGATTTTGACATTAAGCGAATTTTGATCGACCAAGGCAGTTCAGTCGAGATCAAATACTACGACACATTCAAACAGATGAAATTAGAGGAATGGCTGATCGGGAAGATCATTTTGCCAGTCAAAGCAGGGACAGTAACAAAGCAAGTAGAGTTCTGGCTGCTGAAGGTCCCATCAACGTACAATTTGATCTTGGGGAGGGGTTGGCTGCATGCCATGCAGGCAGTGGCTTCAACTTATCATCAGGTCATGCGTTTCCCCACCCCAACCGGACAAATTAAAAAGGTCTGAGGAGACCAAGTCATGTTGAAACAGTGCTTCATCGCGGTTAACGGAAGCCGGACGGTGAAAGGCTTTGTTCAGATGATAGAAGGACCAGAAGACAAGGAGGTCCTGGAAAATGTGGGCTGAAAAGTTGAAAAGAAATCAATTGAAGACTTGGTGGAGGTTCGGATTGATGAGAACGATTCAAGCAAATTCTTCCTCTTAGGCTTGTCATTGTCTAGCACCGAGCGGATGGACTATTTCAACTTCCTGGTCTCCAACATTGAAGTTTTTACGTGGACGCCTTACGATATGCCTGGCATCAACCTTAGCTTCATTTGCCACCAGTTGAATGTATTTCCCAATACACGGCCAGTCATACAGAGAATACGAAGCTCGGCCTTGTAGCATACTGATGTGGTGGCGGAGGAGGTCAAAAACTTGTTGGAGGCTGGGGCAATTGAAAAAGTACAATACCCCAAATGAATCTCTAACACGGTGGTGGTACCGAAGAAGAATGAAAAATGACGGGTACGCATTGACTACAAGACGGTCAACCGTGCTTGCCCAAAGGATAATTTTCCGCTCCTAAGAATTGACCAACTGGTGGACCTTACCACTGGTCATTGGAGATTTAGCTTCCTTGATGCATACCGCGGCTACCACCAAATCACCATGTACGAACCAGACAGAGAAATCACTTCCTTCACCACGCCGAGAGGCTTGTATTGTTATAAGGTTATGCCATTTGGTCTCAAGAATGTCAGGGTGACCTTCCAAAGGATGGTGACCAAAATGTTTGCTCCTCTTTTTGGATGCACTATGGAAGCCTATATTGACGTCATGGTAGTGAAGAGCAAAGATGAATCCTAATACCTCTCCGGCCTAGCTGAAATGTTTGTTATCCTCAAGCACCATAAATTGCGCTTAAACGCTTTTAAGTGCACTTTTAGTGTGGGTACGGGAAAGTTCTTGGGTTTCTTAGTGACAAATCGGGGTATAGAAGCTGACCCTTCACAAATCAAGACAATTCAAGAGTTGGAGCAACCAAATTCCACAAAAGACGTGTAGCATCTCGCTGGAATGGCAGTCCCGTTGAATAGATTTATCAGTCAGTCATCAGATCGCTGCAGGCTCTTCTTCAAAAGTTTGAAGGCCAAGTTTTTTTGGAATGCAGAATGCGACCGCACTTTAACGGACTTGAAGGCTTATATCTCTTTCGCTCCGATTTTGGTCACCCTGCAGCCTGAGAAAGAGCTCTATCTATATTTGGCTGTCTCTTAACATGCAGTAAGCGTGATGCTTGTCTGAACTGAGGGGATTCAACATCTCCCCATCTTCTATGTTAGCAAGACACTACTCCCAGTCAAATCAAGATATCTGCCGCTTAAAAAATTGGCCCTAGCCTTTATAATGGCCTCCAGAAAGTTGGCACACTATTTCCACGCCCACATAATAGTAGTCCTAACCGAATTCCCACTTAAGGTGCTATTTGAGAAGGTAGATTTCAACGATAAAATTTTGAAGTGGGCGGTAGAGCTGGGGCAGTACGACATTAAATTTTAGCCCCGCACGGTTATCAAAGCACAAGCCCTGGCCGATTTTGTCGCTGAATTTGCACCGGGCACCCACCTCGTCTGTTCAATAAACTTGGCGCATGATACAGAGCAAAGGGAAAGGATTAGTGCGGATTTTGCACGGCCCATAATGTCGACGTTGCCGTAAGAAGATGAGGGGTAAGCAATAGGCAAGCAAGACAATTCTGAGCGGGCAGAGTAAGGGTCGGCTGACTTACCAACCGACCAAACGAGTGCGCATACAGGAAAGCTGCAGGTGGAGCAGGCTAGTGCCCTGGATTTAAGAAACTTTCAAAACCCTTTCGACTATTGGAAATTGTTCATTGGTGAGATGTGGAAGCTCTTCGTCGATGGAGCCTCTAACAAACATGGCGCCGGGCTGGGGGTCGTGTTAACCTCGCCAGAAGGACTGACCATTGAGCATGCTATTACGCTTGGATTCCTAGCGTCGAACAATGAGGTGAAATACGAAGCCCTTCTTGCCAGCTTGAAGAGCACTCTACGAATAAAGACATCAGAGCTTATGGTATTCAGCAACTCCAAATTGGTAGTCAACCAGGTCTCTAAGGAATATGAGGCCAAGGATGAAATAATGGCCAAGTATCAAGCACCGGTATGCGCGGAGGTCAAAAAGTTTGCCGCGATAAGAATGGAGCAAATCAACCGTGAAGAAAATAGTCAAGCCAACGAATTGGCTAGCCTGGCATATATACAAACCACATTTCTCAATCCTTTGATGATAGAATTCTTGCCCCGACCAAGCATCGAGGAACCAGAGGCACCCGAGGTACTCTGCACCGACTTGGGACCATCCTGGATTGATCCAATCATTACCTTGCTAAAAGATCGGGTCTTGCCTATCGAGAAGAAGGAAGCCAACAAGATAAGGGCCAAGTCTAAGCGGTTTTGACTCTCTTTATCTAGTGTCTTATACAAGAAATCATTCACTGGACCATTTCTAAAATGCGTCCACCCCAGCAAGGTTGACGCCATTCTTTTTTAAATTCATGAGGGCATATGTGGCAGCCACATTGGGGGCAGATCATTGGCGTACCGAATAATTTCCCAAGGATACTGGTGTCTGTGCATGCAAGCTGATGCTCAGAAATATGTCCGTAAATACGAGAAGTGTCAGAAATTTGCTCAATAAATCAATTAGCCGGCCAGAGAGTTGCTCCCCTTAACCAGTCCTTGGTCATTCGCATTATGGGGGTTGGACATTGTAGGACCACTTCCAACCGCGCCGGGCAATCACAAATTTTTTATTACTGCTTAGTGACTACTTTACCAAGTGGGTTGAGGCTGAGCCATTGGTCACCATCAAGGAGAAGGGTGTTAAGAAGTTCGTCTGGCAAAATGTAATCACTTGGTTCAACCAAATTCCCTCATCTCGGATAACAGTTCGCAATTTGATGGGAGACTCTTCTGCAGATTTTGCGAAGAGTTGAAGATTGAGTTTTACGATTCAATATTAGCCTACTCTCAATCAAACGATCAAACTGAAACTTCAAACAAGACTATCTTGGACAGGCTGAAGAAGTCGCTGGAAAAAGCTAAAGGGAGGTGGGTTAAGGAACTCCCCAACGTACTCTGGGCATACCGAACCACTCCGAGACATTCAACCGGGGAAACTCCATTCACCCTGGCATATGGCATGGAGGCGGTCATACCCTTGGAAATCAGATGCCAACCATCCGATCTAAACCTTGAACAGTGAAGCTATCGCCCTGGAGTTGGATCTAGCCGAATAAAGAAGAGAAATGATGCTAATTCACATTACGACCTATCAACAAAAGCTCTCCAAGAAATACAATAAGACCGTGCATCCGCACCTATTCAAAGTTGCGGACTGGGTTTTGAGGAAGGTGATGTGCAACACCTTGGTCCCCAGTGAGGGCAAATTGGGAGCAAACTGAGAAGGTCCATACAAGATAATCGCCTTGTCGGCAAAGGGGCATACCATTTGGAGGACTTGGACGGCATAGCTATTCTAAGACCATGGAATGTGGCCAATCTCAAGCTGTTTTACTTTTGATATGTAATCTCCCTTCCTTTGTAATCAAATTTGGCTTTTCGACATTGTTAATAATGTTTGCTGCGTAATGGAAAGGACCCTGTTATTTGTCTTTATGTCATTTTTTCCCATGTATTAAAAAAGTGTTGCATTTAAGCTACTGAGTACTAGGGGCAACCTAGTCTTGGTTGTAATGGTTCACCGTGTAGAAATTTGGGCACAAGACCGAATTGACTTCACTCAGTCCGGGCAATGGTTTGGGTCATTGCTGATTGTGATCGCTTGTTCCGAGCTGATTTTGCTCGCCTCCTTCGAGCTAATTCTGCTCGTCGTCCCCGAGCTGCTTTTACTCACCAGGAAGAAAGTTGGGGTTCTACCCAACTAATAACTTGGGATCGAGCTGATTTTGCTCGCCTCCCCTAAGCTACTTTTGTTCGCCGAGAAGAAAATTGGTGTTCTACCCAACTAGTAATTTGAAACTGACCTGATTTTGCTCGCCTCCCGATCTAATTTTGGTCGACCCAAAAAAAAATAGGGGGTTGGCTTTATGCCCAACTTTTGATTTGAAATCGAGCTGGTTTTGCTCGCCACCCACTCGGAGGGACATTGCGTTTCCTCATATTTAAACTGGCTAAATCCATTCAGCAAGAAATTATTTAAGTTTGTACTCTTTGGGCAGAAATTAGCTCGGTACATTCAAGTACTATTCACATGTGTAAATTTATTTCGGCCATATCCAAGTTAGCACTACGGTTATTCAAGCGAAGAAATGAAATTGAAGAAGACAGATGCATACGGCGACCAAAAAGTGGCTAATTCTCATTCATCAAACAGTTCGGTTACATAAGTGGGAATCATAGACTGGTTACAACAACAAAAAAAGGAAATACAAAAGCGCCTAATCTACGTTCACAATTTCCTCCTACTCGGCTTGATCTTCTTCGATCATGTTTACCGTGAGCTCATCTTCAATGATGGGGCTCAGATCCGATCCCAGTTCGGGCCCTTTGCCGCCCGACTCGTTTTCTTCCTCATGGACCGGCCGCCGACTCTCATTAGTCGGTGGGGGGAGTGCAACCTCAGCCACGCTAACCGCCTGTGATGCCTCAATCAATTTCTGCTGTACGGCTACAGCGTAGGTTTGCATGTGCGGAGGAATGAAGGCAAGTGGAGGGTTCTTGAAAACGTCAGAGTCAGAGCCATAGCCAAACTTCTCTGCGGCAGCTTTCTAGCTGTATTGAAAGAAGATATCTTTCGTTCCCTCCACTTGTCGTACGTACACCTTCTCTCCTTCAGCATAGCCGCGATCTTCCGCATCGTCGACTTTCTTCTCTAACTTGGTCTTATGTGCAGCGCGGAGCTTACGCAGCTTGGCCTAATACCTATCCTTCTTGGCTTGCACCGCCTTTTGCTTATCCTCTTCGGCCTTTGCAAGC